GTTTGAACTTTAGGTTTTCACGTGCTTACCTTCTAGTTTCTAGCCAACCGTGTAGTCATATTGGACCTTTAATTATGTAATTTTTTTCAATATTTGTGAATCTGTGTGATGGTTACTTGTTAATGTAAATTAATAGAATTTAAGTTGATGATGATGTAAATTTAGCTAGTAATAACAATCAAATCTAAGTTTTTACCTTTTGGTTACAACACTACTTTATATGGGCAAGCATGAGTTTTTTTTTTCTCACTCCACTACTCATATTTGTTTTCAAATTTGTGTGACAATGCCACGGGCTCTAGTACGTACTAAGCTGCACTTCCTTGTCCATCTTACTGTAAATAACAAATCTTCATCATACGTATGATATAAGTAAATGTTCATTTGAAATTAAGTGAGGATTAATTTAGGATCGCATGCAAGACAAAAATGTTTTTTTAGGTGAGACCCAAGGGTATCCACCGCCGACAGTAGTGACTAATCCCTTTCGCCGCGGGAGCTCTCCCAATGGAGGTAAATGGCTGGCCACAAAATGCGCTCCATTCCCATGGGGGGATCAAACCCCCAACTTCATGGTTAAGGAATGAAGTGAGGACAAAAATGTTTTGCTTTCTTAGTTATAAATAAAGAATCATTTATTCTTTACTATTCGAAGTGAAAGTAAATTATAGATCTGTATGTATTTGTTTGTCAAAAGAAGAATGACTGTTTAATCGGAGGAAAAACAAAACAAATGGAGTCCTAATGTACTTATTATGATTAATTTACGCAACTCCGACTTGTAAGAAGGAATAATTTCTATATTGCAAAAGAAAGCCAAATTTTTTTGTTATAGTACTCCAGAGTTAGAAATAGAAACGTGACATGATGAGTACTGTCACACCGATGTTTATTTTTTCAATTGTTGTTATTATTATTATTATTGATGTTGTTGTTGTTGTTTTATTTTCTGCAAAATTAACTCAGCACAGCTAGCTCTGACAGTTGATCAACAAATCCCTATGGCAGTTGATCAATAATTCCCTATGGCAATTGATCAATAAATCCCTATTCCAGTAATCCTGGCATCTGGTTGGCAGCTGAATTTTTTTGCAGTGAAAAACATATGATTGATTTCCATGCAGTGTGTTCTAGCCTCTAGCTAGTATCTTCACTTCACCAGTGTCGAAAGCATAAATTTATTGAATTGCTGCTTCATCTAACGAAAACATTCAAGCCGGGAAAGTGTAAATTAATGCTTCTGTTTTTTTTTCCCATGTTTTTCATTTCTTGTGATGAATCGCATCAATTTCTAAAAATGGATGAATCACATTTGTGTTGGCGAGTCCTTATTTAGTTAGGATTCTGGTTCCTTATTTCATTAGAATTTTGGTTACTTACCAATTATTATTTAGTCATATTGAAATAGAGATTTACTTCCTATTGTAATTTAGATATATTTCCTATTTTATTTAGGGTTAACACATCTTTGTACTTGTATAAATATCTCCATATTGGAGAAGAATAATAATATGAGCATATATGAATATTTGCCCTACTTTGTTTGACATGGTATCAGAGCCAGGTTCCGATCCTGTGATAACCTCTGCCAAATTGAGAGTCGTTGGCACTCCTCATTCCTAACCCATCATGGGTCTTCATCTTATGGTCTTTCTTGATGTCTCAGCTTCTCTATCTTTGAAAATTTATAACAAGTCTCTTTACTACGTGAGCCTCGTCACCGCTCACCGAGCCGTTGCTTTCCTCTGTGAGCCTCGTCACCGCTCACCGAGCTGTTGCTTTCCTCCGCGAGCCTCGTCACCGCTCGCCGAGCCTTTCCTTTGACTGTTCTGCCGGTCTCTGTCTTCTTCGGCTACTCTCTTGAGTTGCCTTTCCGCTTCTCAGTTTTGAGCACCTTATCTTTGTCTTTGTCTCTGTTCATGATTTGCTGGGTTTCCTCCCTTACTATTCTCCTTTTCTGAAGTTTTTTCTTCATGGGACAACTGTATGCTACCACCTTCCCCTCTTGCATTTGTTTCTGCCACGAGACTGGCATGTTTGAGTCTCTTTACTATTATTCAATTTCTCTTCTTCCAAATCTCGACCCTTTACCAGTGTCGGATTTGAGGGGGAGTGCTGCAACTTTATTTGGGTGTTACTTTCTCCAAATCTCGACTCTCATACATCGTCGGATTTGAGGGGGAGTGACACCGCTGCTTATCTATTCCACTGCAATTTAACCACCTATCTTCCATGGCTGATGTGTTTTCACTGTGGTCATGCCCGTTGACCTTGTCTCTGCTGTTGCTGGTGCCAATGCCTTGTATTGTTGTTGATGATGTCTGTTATGTCTCTGCCATGTTGCTCTTGCTGGTACCAGTGCCTTGTATTGCTCTTGTTAGTGCCAGTATTGTTGCTCCTGCATGTTATGGTGCCAGTATTGTTGCTCATGCCTTTGCTGGTGTGTTTGCCTTGCCTTACCCTATTTTTTAGGGTTTGGTTTCTGCCTTATCTTCTGCCGTGCTCACATGGTTTCTGTGTTCTGCTATCTACCTTATCTTCTGCCGTGCTCACAGGGCTTCTGTATTTTTCCTTATCTATTGTCGTGCTCACAAGGTTTCTGTGTTCTGCTATGTGCCCTATTTTTTAGGGTTTGCTCTTGTGTTTCCGCTGTGAACTTTGCTTTAGTTTGTCATTTGTTTCACTTGTAGTTGACAAAAAGACCTTCTCTACAATTGGTGCTTCTCAAGTATGGTGTTCTATAACTCGCTTGTCAAGTTGGGCATGCGAAATATCTTTGCCCAACTTGAGGGGGAGTGTTGGCGAGTCCTTACTTAGTTAGGATTCTGGTTCCTTATTTCATTAGAATTTTGGTTACTTACCAATTATTATTTAGTCCTATTGTAATAGAGATTTACTTCTTATTGTAATTTAGATATATTTCCTATTTTATTTAGGGTTAACACATCTTTGTACTTGTATAAATACCTCCATATTGAAGAAGAAGAATAATATGAGCATATATGAATATTTGCCCTACTTTGTTTGACAATTTGGATATAAATTGAATGCAGAAACGAAAGAGTACTGCATTAATTAAACAAGCAAAAGGCATTGATGTGCCTCAACTGCCTTTGCTACATCTCGCCCCATTGACAGTTTAAAAAAAAAAAAAAAAAGTAGTAGGACCAATTTCTGTCTTGTCATCGCACTCATATAATACATATGTAAAAATTGGTTGCCTCTCCTTTATGATCCCCTCTGCATGCAGACAGATTATGCATCCCATCAAAACATGGAGACAAAAATCAACCAAACAACTTGGAAAGGAGGAAGGAATCTAATAATAATGAATTAAATTTTGCCTAATGGTGTTAGGTTTTGTTATTATAACTTACTACGAAATATTTAATCCTTTTTTCTTCGCCTTCTTGTGAAAATTTCTAAAATCTAATTAGCTTATTAATTACGAGGCACTCTCAAATTATAAGGACTAAATTGGAATATATACGTGCGACAACTAGAAGACCGAAATTACTAAAAATTGAGTCGGAGGATGAAAATGAAATCTGAATATAGACACAAGGACCACTACGATTGAAAATCCTAGGCCTTGGGTTGTCTCAACAAAAAAAGGGTTTTGATTGTATAATTTGTTTGTTGTGTTGGTTTGTCCCTTGGTCGACAATAAACTTTTGGTTATAGTGCAAGGTAGATGGGCTCGTGATCAACTTCTATTCTCACAAAGGTAGATAGAAATAGAATATCCGTATGGAATATTTTAGTTTGACAAGGTTTAGGGCAAAATCGAATGAACGGTCGTCCATTACCATGGCCATGATAGAGGGTCCCACCTTGACTAATTACTTAATCTCCCCACATTATTTTCCAATATTTTGCTATCTAAGAGATTTTTTGCCTTATGTAATGGAACAGCAGCAACCCACATGGGTCCTGGTATGCACACAAGAAAAAAAACACATTTCATGTGGAGTGCACAATATGAACATCATGACATCAATCACAAACTTTTACTAGAATCAATCTATATAATAAAGAGACTTCTCAAAATAACAGTCACAAACTTGCTGCCGCCTTGCAAGTTGCAACCCACATATCTTTCTATTTTTATGAAAAAAGTGAAGAGAGAATATCAGGTGGAAAGAGAAAGACAAGAGAAACAAAACATGGAATGTCTAATTATTATATGCAAAAAGCTTTTCTTTTTATTTTGATTGAGAGTTTTGAGGTCAAGAATCGAACTTGTACGTATGGGAACTAGCCAGAAGCTCCCATTTGTACAAGAATAGTGTGAAAGTTGAACTTGAAATGTTTTTACAGATATGTTTGAGTTGTCATAATGAAAGCACAAATAATAGAAGCAATGAAAACCGTTTAGAGAAAACCAAACATTTTAATGTGGATGCACCGTGATCATGGATATGAAACACGATAATTTATGTCTTTTATAGCAAAGAGCACAAATAAAAACATGTCTAAAGCCAGTTTTATTAGGAGACCCCACAAATAAAAGTTATATATCTTTTAGATTATGATAAATAAAAATTATTTTTAATCTTTAATTTTATTTTTTATGAACTAATCAAGATTAAACATCCAACTCCTTGTTATCGCCTTCATGTAAACAAAATACGAGACTTCCTCCAACTTATTAGAGACAACTACTATTAGAGAAAATGAATTGAGGATCTACCTCCTCATCTCTCACCCCACAAGTATCATGGATGCTTTTAATTGTTAGATTAAATATGGATAATTAACATGCATCGTAATCACTTGACATCTTTTAACATATACACTAATTAAACAGTATATTTAATCATGTTATTTCTAAATTTTATTGGGAAGAACTAACTTATAATCTTATATTACTGAGACATGAGATTGCAATTTAGCTAGCCTACACCATTTTTGTTATAGATTTTCTATCTCGAATTAAGGACCCCATTTATGTTCTGGTAAATATTCTTGGTAACAAAGAGCAACGACATCAAATACTCTGTCGTTCATGCTAACTCGCACCAACACCGAACACACGATTCTGCCTCGCGCTTTTGGGGTTTGGAAAAACAGAAAAGTCGATCAGAAACCGCTGGTTATGGTGGCGAGACGAAAAATGTTCAGAAGCTGAAAATCAACAAATCGAGAAACACGAAGAAGCAGAGATTAGCAGAGCAATGGGAGCAGTAACAGCACCAGCGCCATGGAAGCAGCTCCTTCTCAACGCAATGGAATCCAATGCCCACCTCAGGCACACTTCCTACATTCAGCTTGTATGCCTCTCTCTCTCTCTCTCTCTCTAGTAATCAATCTTTTTGTTTGTTAAAGTTTGAATCTTTGATGGTTGATTGGGAATTGTAGGCAACTATTGCTTGTAATGGGAGACCTTCAAATCGTACTGTTGTTTTCAGGTAATGATTCTCTCTCTCTCTCTCTCTCTCTCTCTCTCTAAAAGAAATTAAAGTTGATGACTTTGCTGGTACCCTCAGGGGATTTCAAGAGGATAGTGATAAGATTCAAATCAATACCGATGGCAGAAGTCGTAAGGTCATTCTTGTTCGACCCGTTAATTTACAGTTTTAATTTGTTGTTTTCAGCTCAGCTGATATGATGTATTCTTCATAAATTTTTGCAGATTGAGGAGCTTAAGCATTGCCCTTTTGCTGAGGTAATTTATCTTTGAGGTACATTTCCTGAGTTTGTTATGAAACTATCTGCTTTGTATCTATTTGCACTAGAATTAAAGGTTCTTTTAGAGTTTGATGATAATAGTTTTCTGCCCCCTTTTTATTCTTTTGTTCTTAGGCTTAATTTTCCATGTTCTAGATATGTTGGTACTTTACTGACTCTTGGGAGCAATTTCGGATCAATGGAACAGTTGATATTATTGATGGATCAAATCCCGACCCCATAAAACTTCAGGTGAGGTCAGGACCCTTTCTAGAATAGAGGGAAAGGAAAATGCATGTATCATAATCTGAATTCATACTTTAAATATGTTGGAATTTGTTGCGGCAACTGCTTAATCTAAATTTTGAGTCTTCAGATTCTAGAATGTAAATGGTACTTCGGATTCGGAAGTCCTAGTTTTCATGTTAGATTGTATGTTTGAGATAAGTTTCCGGATGAAATGGTAATTATGACCAAAATGTTGTTGAAGGAATCAACGATCATGACTGGAAAAAGGCTTTAGCAGTTTGAAATTGATAATTCTTTTGATACTCGGTTGACAAATAGATAGTATCAGGGGTGGATTTTAGCGGTTCTAAATTGCCATTGCATAGACTCGGTGTTAAACATAAATTTTCTAAATTCAGTTGTCTATGGATAGAAACTTCTAAATCCAGTTTGAAACACACCACATAATCTTCTCTCCCAACAAAGGAAAGAAGATTTAATCAAGGGCCTACCTTAGTGCTAACATGATGCATTGTTGTTTGCTTATAAGATTTCCACTGGACTTTGGATAATGATTTATCATGTAACTTCTAGAGAGGGACATGTTCTGGGCCAAAGACAGTAAAATTGGGCTAAGCTTGGTGCTGGAGTGAGATGATTTTTGGCATGGTGCCACTTTGTTGACTCCCTTGCATAGCAAGGATGAACAATGTTTGTCAAAAAGAGATGTCAGAGTTGAACATGTTCCCTCAAAAAGAGATGTCAGAGTTGAACATGTTCCCGAGATGCAGGGATGGAAGGTGTATATATTTTAGAAGATTGAGTGCTGTTGGAGATCAGATAGTTTGGAAACATAATTTATTAAATATTTAACGAATTGAAGTAACCTTGCCATGATCTTTGACCTCAAGTGGATGTTTAAAAAATGTAATACAGCATATATTTTGCTATTATTCATGCTGTAATGTTCTCCTCTCAAATTGCCTGCTGCAGCAAAGAGAGAAATCGTGGGCTTCCAGTTCTCTGAAATCAAGACTGCAGTATTTGGGGCCCCAGCCAGGTCTTCCCAATCTAAGTGAAGAACCACCCAAGGAAGTCTCTGTCGATCCTTCTACAGGCCCCGTTGGTGCATTTTGTGTTCTTGTTCTAGACCCGCAACAGGTTTGCTTCTCTAGTCTTACATTCATGATTCGTCTTACAATGTGTTTAATTTCCCTGCTTAATTTTCTTGAGTTTTATCATGTTCACAGGTTGATTACTTGAACCTGAAGAGTAACCAGAGGCTGACGTTTGCATCCACTGGAAGTCCCAATGAAGAGAAATGCTGGACTTCAGAAAGGGTTAACCCCTAAACCTCTGCTCTAGAGTTTAACCAGAGGCAAACATGAAACACGTCGTTGTTTACTGATGATTTATTCTGTCAAGTCGACAATATAAAAAGGAAGATATATTATTGATGATTGTGTGAAGTTAATCTTTAATAATTACATTACAACTTAGATTCCTGCTTGGCTGCTCGTACAACTAGAAGCTTACCTCTAACCTGAAGAAAGAAGTTGCCAACAAAACTAGTGAATGCATTTGACCCGTCTGTTTGGCTGCTGTGATACTTGTATCACATTAAAAAGATCTCTATAAAAAAAGAGCCTAAATGAAGTGCATGGAGCAATTATCTCATATATTGGGTAAGAATATTAGCAGGTTTATGACAAGAAAAACATTTGCTTACCAAGACTGAGGAAGAATTGAGTCCGGAAGTTAGGAACACCAACAAAACATGTATACTTACGTTAGGAGAATCCAAACAAATGAAGAAAAAGAAAAATTGCCTTTCTATTAAAATCATAAAAAAATAAAATCCCCTTTTAAATTTGATTATGCTCTCGTTTACAACCCCACCCCAATTTCAAGTTTTAAAGAAAGAAATGGACCAAAAAATCCTCGATTGGAAACAAAAGGTTACAACTTAACTTACAACAATCTTTCTATGTCAGCTATCAAAATCCAAAGGCACTCTAGCACTGGGGCAAGTCTGCAGGAGGGTGAGGAAGGATCTCAAGGTCTCCTTTTCCATTCTTCACAACAAGCACTGTGCCTAATCCCCAAGACTGGTGTATGTCAAGGTGACAATGCATAAACCAAACCCCTGCAATTAATAAAAATTGTCATTGGTGATGCCATTTCCTCCTGTGCGTTAGTCGTGTGCGGACGTGTGATGCTAGCACATCTGTTCTCCAAACAGGTCAACAAATATGATAGCTTCACGTCCCCACGCGCAACTGACTATAGCATTAACCCATTAGTATTAATATAGAAATACAACACTTACCAGGATTGTCAGCAACAAAACGTATAGCAGCCCATCCACCCACAGGGACTCCAATTGTGTTCATGTAAGGTGGATCCACCAAGTTGAAGTTTGCAGTTTTCGGGTTGTAGTTCCCAGTGCCATACCCAACAACATAGAAGCTATAGCCATGAAGATGAATTGGGTGATTCTCAGTTGTGACTGTTCCAGTGTCCTGCATGATGAGTTGCACTCTAGCACCATATTCAAGGACCAACGCCTTAGTCCCATTCAATGCCTGTGTATTGTTAGGAACATTATTAGGTGCCCCATTGACAAAGTCATAGAACTTAAGGGGTACCCCAGGGAAGTCCTCTGTGAAAGAGCCATTAATCTTCTTATAATAAGCTTCCAAAAGTGAAATTTTTGGCTTAACAAAACTTATATTGTTCATTGATGCTGCCATAACCCCATTATTAAGGCCTTGGCAATTTTGTTTTGGTGTCTTGGAGTGACACTTTTGAACATTCAATCCAATGGTGACAAAAAGGTCAGTGTCAATCTGTCTTGAAACATTAACAGGGTTTAGGCTCCTTAATCCATCCATGACCGTCTTAACGGCTAGATTATCGTTGAAGCAGGGCAATTTAGCAGGTAAAGATAGGCTATTAGGGACAGCACCCGAGTATTGGAAATAAGCAATGGATGAAATGTTTTGGAATTTGACACCCTTGGCTGACATGTAAGGTCCCATGGCCATGGAGTATTTTCCTGGAGACTGATCAGCTGTGACTAAGACACTCATGGTCTGGCCTGGTCCAAGCATCACACGGTCTGTGGTGAATGGCTTTGTATACTCTGCATCAGCTTCCACAATTGTCAGTTTGTGATTAGCAATGGCAAAGAAGTTCTCCATGTTTAAGCCTGCATGTATTAGCCTTAGCAAGTATGTCTTCCCTGAGACCACATCAATCTGAAACACATCTGAAACAATCACAACATCACATAGTAAGCAAGCAAAACAATTAATGACAAAAGCAAGGAGACTAATGAACTATCCATACTACATTTACTAATCACATTGTTGGCCATTAAAAAGTTTCACGTCTACGAGCGAAACGTGGTAAATATTATACATATAACATTGTTTTAGATTTTCTATATTACCATTGTTGGAGCAGTTGTAGTTTGGCCCTGGATGGCCATTGATTGTATAGGCGTTTGTTGGTGTGGGAGGTCCTCCACTTGCTGCAGTGGCTCTTTCAAGTTGTACAACATCCTGCAGCCAATACTCCCCTAATACAATTGTCTAAATAATCAAAATTAATCCGAACTTCCATAACATAATTAATTTGTAAACATCACTCAGAACCCAACAATTACTTTTCAAAAGATTATCACTTCCCCAGATGAAAATCATATATATATATTTGTTAAGTACCTAGTATTAAGGTGTGCTCTTCATAAGGGGCTTTGAATGGGTAAGGAGCCCCAGTTTTTGGATATACAATAAGGGCACCATAAACAGTTGCCCTTAGCCAGGAAACATGAGCATGCCAAAAGAAGGTGCCTTTCTGCTTCACCATTGTAAATTCATATGTAAAACTCTGGCCAGCTTGAATTGGACATTGGGTTATGTATGAAGGTCCATCAAACCAGCATGATAGCTTTTGTCTGACACCATGCCTTGATTTGAAAAATAAAAAGAAAAGAAATAATTAGTAAGAAAATAAGCAATCAAGTTATGAACAAATATATAAGCTCATTGGTTTACCAGTGAATTGTGACATTGAAAGGTGTCTCATTAGTTACATTGACAATGATTCTATCATCTTCCTGAGCATAAACAGATGGCCCTGGGAACTTCCCATTGATGGTCACCATGTCCTTGGTGCTGCACAGTTTGGTAACTCTTTTGGTTTGTACCTAAAAATTGGCATCAAATTGACCTTCATTAACCAGAAAAATCAGGAGAAATCAATAGAAAAAGAAAAACACATAAAAGAAGTAAGTTAAAAGAGACCTTGAAATCATAGAACCTGGTTGATCCTCCACTTGGCCATTGTGCCATAACATGCACATTGTAATTGTAACCATAGATGAACAAAAAGCTTAGAACTATTGTAAATGAATTGAGCAAGTTTGCCATTTACACAGACACTCACTCGCACACAGAGTTTGAACTTGGTGGCGAGATGGGGGTGGTGGAAGGGGTGCTTAATAGAGTGAATCCAAGATACTTTTTTTTATACTTTTTTTATTAATTTTTTTTCCTGTTTCCTGCTTTTTTCCTTTTTTCCTTTTTTTGTAATATATATTTTTGATTGCAAGAGAAAGAAAAAAAGAAGAAGGAAAAAGCAGGGTTCTTGTAGGTGTATCATGTTTGTCAGCTTTCATGATACCTCTAACATGCATTGGTGATAATAAGTTGTTGGGTGTGTGTGATTATTCAATGTGACCCAATGTGGGGAATGGTTTAAACCTCTTTCTTTCTCAACCCAAAAGAGATTTTACTTTTCTTTTCTCTCAATACCTTCTTTGTCATGAAATCATGTCATTTGACTGAGAAAAATAGACACACCTGCTACTACCTAGATACCAATACCTGAACAGCTCCCCTGCTCTGTTCTCTTTGTGTTTAGAATCCATCATTTCACTCCCATCAGAAACTTTCTTAATTTCTCTCTGAATGACCTTTTGAACTCCCCAATTGTAACTTGTAAAAGTTCATGTGCTTTAGGGAAAGCTTTCAAACAAAGGGTTCAGCTGGCTCTGCCTCTACATGCTTTAATTCAGTACTTTGGTTCATGGCATTGCAGCCAGCATTGCTCACATTAAAAATATACAGCTAACATTTCTAATGGTAGAGTCAGTAATTTGTGTATTTTATGTATCTGTAAACTTAGTGTATGAGACAGGCAAATAGAGTGAAAAAAGTGAGCAATGGATGGGATTGTTTGCTGTGCTTTTGATGGACAGGCTCTTCTACTCAATCATAAGCATAGTGGCTGCACGCCTTCACACCCCAACCCCACCTTTGTTAGAAACTTGAAGACACTAAGGCAAAGATTTTATTCCCAAAGCTTTATGGATATATCAACTTTTGGGATCATTATTTTATTTCTGGTACGTTTTTACAAACATATGGTATGGATCTTCATCAGATTGCAAACTAGCCGCTTTGGATTTTCATTACAATGTGGCTTGTGTTTCGCTCTTTCATGTCAGATTGTAAACCAGCTCTTCTCAATGTTGGAAGAGGTCTCAACTTCAATTCTGCTAAATTATAACTCAACATTTTACTATTTATGATTTTGATTAAATATCATTTCGTGGGACAAAGTCCCATGTTGTAATTACTATATCATAGGTAGGGGATTTAATTACTCGAGTTTAGCATAATGAGTTACTTTCTAACATTGTTGTAAAAGAATGTTAAAATTGATGATTGCGCATGTAATTGGATCATTACCAAAATTTAAAATTTGCACCATACTGATTGAACAAACAAATGTTTGTCAATGAGGTCTAGCTTAGTGGAAACGGGCATTGACTTGCACCCAGTAGTCTTATGTTAGAACAGCCATGACACATTGATAGTGTGTGTGTGTGAGAAATCCCCCTCCCCTTGTTGTTTAGAGTACCGCTTATATATAAAAAAAACATTGCATTTAACCCATATCAATATTTGTTGGTCAAGGGTACAAACCACATCTCTATAGATTTGAAGATTTTAGCATATCATGTTCTAGCCTCATAATTGAAGATCCTTTATTTTTTTTTCTAATGATTTTTAACATGGTGTGTTGAATTTTAGGACCACCCTCTATTTTAATCTCCTAAACGAATCTTTACCAACTCAAATTAGTATTTGCCCGTAATGAATCAATAGTTGAAAGGGATTGTGTTCTGTAGAAGCTGCAGATGAACAAAAAAGGCATTCTGAGAAAAACAGAAAAATAATAATTAAAATAAACATACGACAAAAATTGAGCAACCCATAATTGTGTCCAATGCATGCCACGATAGCTTCAAACCTACGCAGCATCACTGTGGGTGATGGTGCCAGGTTTCATGTAGTAACTTGAGCATGCATGTTTCTATTGGCTTCCTTTCCATATCTTATATTTCAGCTTCTCACATAATTCAAAATCACAAATCTTCTACATAAGTTTGCACAGA